GAAAGGCAGTGTCCCCTGACTGGAAGAGTGACTGTCCAGCAAGGTTTGGGCAGGCGAGGCAAGGCCGTGGGGTCATTCTGCCAGTTGCACTTGGGTGGTGAGCACGGGTGGGAGGTGTGGGCTGGTGGGAGTTGGGCCGGGGACAGGCAGGGGAGGGTGGCAGTGGGGAGTGGCCCTGGGCACCTCTGGCGGTGCAGCCTTTCTGTCCGTGGTGGCAGTGGCCGCCACAAGGGGCATGGGGTGCGTGGGGAGCCCGAGATTAACTTGTCCCCTGGGTGTGGCTGTCGGAGGTGGATGAAGAAGCCCTGGTGCAGCTGTCGGTCCCTGCGGAGCTGGCCCAGGAGGTGCTGCAGGTCCTGGAGAAGCGGTGCCAGGGCAGCTCTCTGCGTGACCTGCGTGGCTCCCGTGTCTACGCCAGACATTTCCTCGGAAGGGGGGCAGAGCAGGATGGTGGAGGGAGCACCGCAGTGTCCTCAGAGGGTGACAGGAGCACCGGCCCTGAAGGCACGATGGCCAAGGCAGCGGAGGGAGACCTTTCTGCAGCCCCAGGGCCGCCCCAAGGCTGCAGTGTGGCAGTGAAGTCAGATTCCCAGCTGTTCAGCGAGCTCTTGGAGAGGGAAGGGCTGTTCCTGCCAGAGGTGACGGAGGAGCAGATCCAAGGTAATGTCCTGCCACACGTCGGGGCACAGGCGCGGTGCTGGCAGCGGCACTGCTGCCCGCCAGGGGAAGGCTCTGGGCAGGGCATGGGGGCCACGCAGGCAGGGCTGCCTGAAGTGGGGGTGCCTGCGGGCGCTGGGTCTGTGGGTGTGTGGCACCCTGGGAGCTGCTGGAGGTGTCACGGCTGCCCTGACCCCTCCGTCCCTCCGGCCAGCGCTGGGCAGCTCCAAGGGGCTGAGCGAGAGCGGCTCGCTGGCCAAGGTTGCAGCTGTGGTGGACGTGATCCAGAGCAGCAGCTCAGCGGTGGGGCTGCGCTTAGCTGGGCTCAAGCACATCCTGAAGATGCTGGAGGAGGAGCCCAAGTCGGAGCAGCAAGTCGGCACAGCCCAGGGCGGGCTGGGCATCGGGAGTGCTGGGTGAGTGCTGGGGTGCTGCACACCCCTCCTGCTGCCTGGGGAGGGCCCTGTGGGCAGGGTGGGGGACGGTGCTGGGCCGGAAGAGCGGGAGGTGGCAGCGGGAGTGTGAAGGGTGGCGTGTGCGAGAGGAAAGGTGGATTTTGTGTCCCTTTGTGCCAGGCAGGGTCATTGGCAGGGCCGTCCCAGCTGCAGCGTGGGCAGGAAGGAGGTGGCTGTCAGGGCCCAAGGAGGCCGTGCCTGAGGTGTCCTGTCCCATGCAGGGAGAAGCTGGTGCAGGTGTCAGTGGAGCTGCTGAGCACGGAGGTGTCAGAGAAGGCGCTGGTGGCGGTGACGCTGCGGCTGCTGGCCGTGCTGCTGGCCCTGTGCTACGAGTGGCGCGTGCCCTTTGCCACGGAGGGCGGCGTGCGGGCCGTGCTGGGCTGCATGCAGCAGCACGGCTGCTCGGCCCTGGTGCAGCAGGCCGGGCTGGCGGTGAGTGCCGGGGCGTGCCGGGCTGGGCAGGGAGCGCGGGCTGCCCCGGCGGGCTGGAGGGGCCGCTGCCCTGCGCGCTGCTCTCGTCCTCGCAGGCCCTGAAGGTGCTGGTGGGAGCTGCGGACGCCGAGCCGGGAGGCGCCGGCGGGAAGTGCTTGCCCTGGAACCACGGCGATGCGCAGATGATGCGGGAGATCTTTGCCAGCATCGGCTCTGCCTCCAGCAAGGGCTCTGCCAGCCTGCTGAGTTGCATCCCTGCTGCCCTGAGCACCATGCAGAGGGTCCCAGGGTAGGGACAGAGCGTGGAGAGCGGCTGAGGTTGGCCGGAATCTGCAGGGGGAAGGACGGGCAGGGCGGGCAGGTGGCTTGTGGGTGCAGGGGAGGCTCTGTGCCCGGCAGAGGAGAGTGGCACGGCTGTGTCCCTGCAGGGGCTCCTCAGGAGTGCAGAACGGCCTGCTGGTGGTGAACATGCTGATGGACGGGCACCGGGGCCTGGCGGAGCAGCTGGCGAGCTGCGATCTCCTGGCGGTGCTGCAGAGCTGCTGGAGGGCCGGGCAGAGCAGCGGCTGCCCCCAGGCAGTGCTGGCCCTCAGCGCCATCAATCGGCTGGCAGAGCACGGGCTGCCCCTGGGCCCGGAGGCAGCAGGTACCGTGCTGCCCACCCTGCCCGTGCTATGGCCCCGCGGGTGCCACGGGTGGGACTGCCCGGCCCGACGGGGCAGAGCGCCCTGAGGGGCTGCTGCCACTCGAGCGAGCGCCTGGGCTGGGCTCACGTGTCCTTGTCATGGCAGGCAGAGAGCTCCTGCTGGACCCCAAGGGCGTGCAGATGCTGCTGGGTGGCCTGGACGATGGCGTCCTGTCCAAGGAGGTGGTGGTGGCCCTGGAGCGGCAGCTCTGCAGCCAAGGCCCTGTTCCCTCTGGCCAGGTGGCCCAGCTGCTGCAGGACCACAGCTGCTTCCGGCTGTTGCTGCGCAGCTTGGAGCTGCTGGGGACAGAGAAGGCCGTGAGCCTGAGCATCCTCAGGTGGGTGCAGGGTGACTGAGCGGGGTCTGGGACCCCCTGATGAGGTGTGTGAGTGCTGGGGGTCATGGTGGGGAGACCAGTGCATGTTTGTGGGTCCTGGTGGGGCTGTTCTTCCCTGGGGGCAGGCCCACCCCAGCATGTAGGCAAGTGCCAGTTGGTGTGTCCTGGGGCACAGGGCCACGTGGGGCCACAGCAGCTGTGCCTGGTGCTGGTGGGGACCTGCACGGGCAGCAGAGGACATGGGGCCAGCAGCCTGGGTGCTGGTAGGGTGTGCAAGACCACAGCAGCTGTGCCTGGTGCTGGTGGGGACCTGCAGGGGCAGCAGAGGACATGCCTGGGTGCTGGTGGGGTGTGCAGGGTGCCAGGGGAGCCTTGGTTCCCAGTCCCTGAGAGGTGCCTTCCAGGTGGGGCAGGGAAGCAGGGCTGCCTGCAGGACTGCTGTCCCTGTGGCCCAGCCTGAGCAGGCCCTCTCTGACCCAGGATCCTGAACAAGTTCCTGGACAGTTACCAGGAGGATGTGCTGCCCTGGCATGAGTGTGTGGAGCCCTGCGTGTCCTTCCTGATCACGCACAGCAGCAGCTGGGAGGTGAGGGGGCCCCGGGACTCGTGGCAGGCAGGGTGGCTGTGCTGGCTGTGCCTCAGCCGGGCTGGGCAAGCAGGGCCCCGCTGGTGGCAGCCTGGCCTTGTGTCTGAGGCACTGAGAGGTGGGGAGCGGCTGTCCTGGCCGTGTCCGTGTCCTAGTGGCCACATGCCCAGTCTGGCTGTGCCTGGCCAGGCTCTGGTGGGTGCTGGTGGGGTTGGGATGAGGGGAATGGAGCTGCAGCTCCGGCTGCTGGGAGCCCCGGGGAGTCGCCAGCAGTGCCCGTCTGCTCACGGCTGCGTCTCCGTAGGTGCTGCAGGAGGTCGTTGGCTTCCTGCACCGCCTGGGCAGTGCCAGCAAAGACTGTGTGGTGGTGATGTGCCACGTGGGCACCCACGAGGCTCTGTCCAAAGCCCTGGAAAAGCACAGCACGGTGCCGTCGTTGGCACCGGCCCTGCTCGAGCTGGTGGCGGAGTGTGAGAAGTACGCCAGCCTCTACAAGAAGCTGACGAGCAGCATCCTGGCTGGCTGCATCCAGGTGGGCAGGGAAGGCACGGCTGCCTGGGGATTTGGGTCTGGGGGCATCAGGCTGTCCCTGCTGCCGAGGGACGGCCTTGTGCTCCCTGCCTGGCACAGCCCTGCTGGGGCTGAGGGGAGGAGGACCAGGGGCTCCTGGTAAGAGCCTTGCCCCATGCCACAGCTGGTCCTGGGACAGATTGAGGAGCACCGCCGGAGCCACCAGCCCATCAGCATCCCCTTCTTTGATGTCTTCCTGCACAACCTGTGCCAAGGTGAGTGCAGGCAGGGGGTGCTGACCCCAGTCTTGGTGGCTGGAAGCTCCATGTGCTCTGCCCACAGGCTCCAGCATGGAGGTGAAGGAGGACAAGTGTTGGGAGAAGGTGCAGGTCTCTTCCAACTCGCACCAGGCCAGCAAGCTCATGGACAGGAACCCCAGGACCTACTGGGAGTCGAACGGCAGCACCGGCTCCCACTTCATCACTGTGCACATGCAGTGTGGAGTGGTGATCAGGTGGGGCTGGGCCAGCAGGGCTGTGTGTGGAGGAGAGGGTTTTGGGGATGTGTGCCAGCCCTGCCACAGTGGCCCCGTCCCAGGACAGCAGGAGGAGGCTGGCAGGGCGTGGTGCCCTCAGGGCTGGGGCAGGGAGGCTGGAATGGCTGGGCAGCCCCGTGTTTGCTGTGCTGCAGGGAGCTGAGCATGCTGGTGGCCAGCGAGGACTCCAGCTATATGCCATCGAGGGTGGTGGTGCTGGGCGGGGACAGCCCTGCCACCATCAGGACGGAGCTCAATGCGGTGAGTCCCCGTGGGAGTGGCGGGCTGGTCCTTGCTGTGGCCCGTGGAGGTCTGGCTGTGGTGTGAGGCCCGGGGAGGTGCCCTCGGGGAGGTGGGAATGGCAGGAGCTGCGCTGTGGGAGCTCCTTGGGCTGCCTGTCACGCTGAGGGCTCGGTGCCTCCCTGCAGGTGACCATCCTGCCCTCGGACAGCAGAGTGATCCTGCTGGAGAACATGACCCACTTCTGGCCCGTCATCCAGATCCGGGTGAAGCGGTGCCAGCAGGTAGGGGAGCAGGGGCTGGGCCTGGCAGCGGGCAGTGCGGGGCATCAGGGCCCAGCCCGAGGAACTGAGGGTCCCGCTGTCCCGTAGGGTGGCATTGACACACGTGTGCGTGGCATCGAGGTGCTGGGTCCCAAGCCCACCTTCTGGCCCATCTTCAGGGAGCAGCTGTGCCGGCGGACGTTCCTCTCCTGCACCGCTCGGGCTCACGCCTGGAGCCAGGAGATCTGCCGAGACCGGGGGCGGCTGCTGCAGCTCTTTGGCAGGTGAGTCGTGTCCTGGCTGTGCCATCGCATCCCTGGTGTCCCAGGGCCCGGGGGGGACATGGCTGGCAGCCTGCGAGGGACTGCAGGGCTGGGGAAGGAGCAGCTGGCTGTGGCACCTGGATGGGAGGGGCCCTTGCTTCTTCCTGGCCACCAGTGGTCCTTCCTGGCCAGGGTCATCTGGGTTTAAGCTGGGCTAACCCCCCAGAGCAGGATGCTGGTCCCCCCAGGGGCTGGCACGTCCTGACAGAGGTTGGCCAGGCACAGCAGGATCTCGTGGCCACAGGCACTGCACAGCCCCCATTTGGCAGGAGCTGCGAAGGCCCCAAGGGCCATTGGGGGCAGGCCCCAGGGACAGCAAGGGGCCCTCCCTGGCTGCTGGGGGCCAGTGGGGCCAGGGAGCCATCGTGCCTTGGCAAAGGGCGGAGCAGGGAGCCACCACTGCGCTCTGCTTTGCCGTGGGAGTTCTCCAGCCCTTGGCACCGAGTGCTGCCCGGTCGCTTTGCAGACTGAACCGGGCGCTGCAGCACGAGCAGGGCTTTGCCAACCACTTCCTTCCCGACGACGAGGCAGCCCGGGCTCTGGGCAGGACGTTCTGGGAGGCCCTGGTGAACCCCTTGGTGCAGAGCATCACCAGCCCAGGTAGCCTGCGCTCTCCGGGAGCCAGCCGTGCCGTGCCCCAGGCAGAGGCACCTGGCTGAGGGTCTGGTTGGCCTCGCAGACCCCGATGGTGTCAGTCCCCTGGCCTGGCTGCTGAGTGAGTACCTGGAGAGCGTGGAGCTGCCCCGCCGTGCCACGGGACGCAGGGCTGCCTTTGGTTCCTGCGTGCGGCGCCTGACCCAGCTCCTGGTGCACGTGGACCCCGGCGGCCCCGAGCCAGAGGAGAGCAGAGCAGCTGGTGAGCCAGGGGCTGCCCTGCCCTGGGGCTGCTCCGGAGTGCCAGGCTGTGGCCATGGGGCTCCTCTGGGAGCATCCTGTGGCACAGAGGCTCCTGAGCCTGGGAAGGCTTGTGGCCATGCCCCAGCAGTGGCCGTGCCTCCCCAGCGTCCCCTCAGCCCTGCTGCGGCAGTCAGTGTGCGGGGCCTGCCCACGGAGCCACACTGAGCCTGAGACTGACCCTTGGCAGGTGGGAAGCAGGGGAAGAGCAAGGAGGTGCCGGCCAGGACTGCAAAGGCGGTGGCGGAGAAGTCGAGAGGCCTGCGGGGAATCTCGCAGTGCTGGCGTGGCGTGGTGCAGCAGCAGGTAGAGCTTGGAGGGCTGACTGGGAGGGGTGTGGGACCTTCCCTGTGTGGTTGGAGCAGGGAGTGGGGTCTGGCAGTGCCCTGGGAGCATGGGGAAGGCACAGGGCTGTACCTGGCCGCCACAGAGCCTGGAGCGATGTGGGGTCAGCCCTGCTGCGCCTGCCACCCCGGCATGGCTCGAGTGTCAGCCAGGCCAGGAGCCAGGTCCGGTGTCGGGCTGTTATTTCCTGCTGGGCTGCTGCTGTGTCTCCGTAGTGCCCCCACAGCCCCTGGGCAGCCCTCAGAGCTGCGCTCCCACCGTGGAAGCCCCGCAGCAGCAGCAGCAGCAGCAGGGCCCCGAGTCCCGGGGAGCAGGCAGCTGGTGTTGGCAGGGCAGGCTGGGGATGTTCCGAGGGCACATCCCGCTGCGGCTCAGCCCTCGCGCCGCTCCCGCAGGTGCAGCGGTTCCTGGAGGCGGCGGGGCAGGCGCCGGACCTTGCGGAGCGCTACTGCCGGCTGTACCGGCGCCTGCGCGGGGCCACGGAGGAGCTCTTCGGGCAGCAGGCCGCCTTTGTGCTGGCCCTGGGCCAGGGCTTTGCGGGGGCTTTGCTGCAGCTCTCCTTCCTGACTGCCCTGCACGTGAGTCCAGGGAGCGCGGCCCCGATGCCGTGGCCTGGGCAGGGCCTGGGGAGCTGCCCTGGCCCACGGCACTGGGACAAGCTCTGGGTGGGTGGTGTCCTGTTCCCCCTGAGCCACAGAGCCCTGCTCTGGCACCCCGGATGGTGCCCAGCTCAGGTGTGTGGTGCTCATCCCAGTGTGGGCCCAGCCTTGGGCTGGTGCCTGGGCACCCTCGGCCCCTGCCCAGAGTGCCAGAGTTTTCCGGCTGCTCCCTGCAGGGACATTCCCCCAGCCCAGCCCTGTGGGCACCTGGTGAGTCCTGTCTGCAGCCAACCTGTCCCTTGCAGGTGAGCGAGCAGTTTGCCCGCTACCTTGACGTGCAGATCCAGGAGCTCCGCAGGGCTGCGGGCAGCACGGGGCCTCTGGAGCGGCTGCAGCAATTCTTGGAGCCCTTCGTCGTCTTCAGTGGCCTGGAGTTTGCCCACACCTTTGAACACTTCTACAGGTGAGGCTGCTGCGTCTCCCCAGAACCAGGGGCCTGCTGCAGCGTGGCCTGGTGTGCTGGGGGAGCTTGGTCTGCTGTGGCAGTGCTGCCCCTGCTTTGCTTTTATGGGATCATGGAGTGTGGAGGGCCCGTGGATGCTGCCAGTGTGTGGAATCACATTCCCTGCAGGGGACAGGGAGGGGACACGTGTGTGCTGCCAGGCCCGTGTGCTGTGGGGTGAGACTGGGCTCGGTGGCTGTCTCCTGGTGGGTGGCTGACGGCCACAGGGCTCGGGCCCAGCCCTGACTGGAGCTGGTGGCCACGGCAGGCACTACCTGGGGGACCGGCTCCTGACACAAGGGCCATCCTGGCTGGAAGGAGGCATCGTGGAGCAGATCGGGCTGTGCTTCCCCAGCCGCTTTCCCCAAGATATGCTGAGCAACTTGGCCGAGTCGGAGGAGCTCCAGCGGCAGTTCTGCCTCTTCCAGCTGCAGGAGCAGGACAAGCGGCTGCTGGAGCTGGACACGGGCCCGGACGAGGTGAGCGGGATGGGGGCATGGGGAGGCCGGAGGCCGCTGGTTTTCCTGGTGGGATCCCGGAGCCTGACTTGAGCTGCCCTCGTGCCCCTGTGCCCAGGTGCTGGGACCAGCCGCGGTGGCAGACGTGCCAGAGGTGAAGGTGCTGGCCCTGTCCCCGCGCTGCTGGCCCGTTTCCCCGCTCTGTTACATGGAGAACCCTGGGAGGTTTTTCCCGGCGGTGCTGAGCTCCCCACTGGATGAGTTTGCTGACTTCTGCCGGCAGAGTGAGTGCTGTGGCCAGGGGTGTGCCCAGACCCTCGAGGGCAGCTCAGGCACAAGTGGTGGTGGGCTGGGAGTGCCTGGCAGGGCTGGTCCCCGTCCCTGTCCCTGACACTGTCCCCGGCAGGCCAGAGCCAGCTGGGCTGGGAGTGCACGAAGCCCCGTCGGCTGCAGTGGACGTGGCTGGGCCACGCCGAGCTGCAGTTTGGAGACTGCGTCCTGCACGTGTCCACGCTGCAGATGTACATCCTGCTGTGCTTCAACAGCGCCCAGGTAGGGGCTGGAGCCACGGTGGGGCCAGGGAGGCGGTGGAGGCTGGGGCGTGGCAGGGCCGTGTCCTCCCTTGCCTTCATGTTGGGTCTCCAGCGGTGTTTGGGGCACGGGACCCCGTTCTTAGGCAGGGCCAGTGACTCTTGGCCATTGCCCTCCCACCCCGTGCTGCAGGAGGTGGCTGTGGAGGCCCTGCTGCAGGCTACGGGGCTCCCTGCTGACCTGGTGCACCACGCGCTGACCCCGCTGACCCACGGCCAGGGCGTCCTGGTGGGGAGCTGCACTCCAGGGGGTGAGCACGGGGCTGGGGCACCCAGGGCAGGGGCTGGCCTGAACCCCCAGGGGGTGCTGGGCTTAGGGTGCAAGAGCTGGTAGGGCTGGTCAGGGGGCTGGGTCCACGTGTTGGTGCTCGGGGCACAGGTGTGTGTGTCAGGGTGGGGCCTGAGGCCAGTGCAGGGCTGGGGGTGATGGGTGGGGTGGGTCTATGGCCATGCACGGGGCCTGGGTCAGCGTGGCTGGGTGGGTGGGTCTCGGTCTGTGTGTGGGCTTGGGCCAGAGCCAGGGGCTGTGTGTGTGGCTGTGGCTTGGGGCCACACGTGGGGGACAGGGCTGGGGTGGCCAGCGGTGCAGGCAGCCGCAGGAGGCCCAGCTTGGGTCCCCAGCCACACACGTGTCCTGGGGCTCCTTCAGGGCCCAGCTCCAGCTTGGCTGAGCCTGGCTTGGGGCTGGCTCCAGGTGCACTGCGGCTGAACCAGGCAGCCCTGAGCTCCGGCCGCCAGCTGAGGCTGCTGCCCCAGCAGCGCTACCTGCGGACAGAGAGGGCCGAGGTGAGCGCCCTGGAAAGGAAGAGGAACGTCCTGTGCTGCCTCATCACCCGCATCCTCAAGGTGGAGAAGCAGCTGCACATCGACAACCTGGTGTTCAGGGTACGGGGGCGCAGGGGGCACAGGGGGCACAGGAGCTGCCTGGGGGCTGCAGCCACTGCACTGGGGCTCTCTTGCTGCCCTAGGTGATCGATGCCTGTCAGAAGGGCGAGTTGGGCCCAGGGGTGCAGTTCCTGAGCTTCTGCTGCCACAGCGTGGACGTGCTGTCCTGCATCCTGCACCTGCTGAACCAGGGCTATCTCCGGCGCCAGGAGGGGAGGCCTCATGTCTTGGAATACATCTCTGCTGAATCCACAACGCTCCCCACTTCTCAGGTCCAGCCACAGGTTGCCTTCCATACTGTAGAAATCAAGACAGCAGCAAACCTGGCCTCTGCCGAAAGGAGACAGACTTTTTCCACGTTCAGGTAGACAAGGACGTGGCTGGGAGAACTCAGGTTGAATCCAGTCTATCTCTTCCTAAACACGTGTGAGTTTTATCTAAATAAATGAGCCAAGCTCCACCCAGTCCCACTGTGTAGTCTTTTGGGGAGCTCAGCTGGTCCATGGCTGCGAGGCCATACCCATGTGCTCAAGGAGCCCTGACAGTCATGCTTGCTGGAGTGGTGGTAGTGGCTGCATCCTGCCCAAATTTGTTCTCTCCCAGCTGCGCTGAGTCATGCCCTCAGAGATGAGGGCACACACACACAAATACCCTGCCATAATGGTAACAGCATTAATTTATTAAAATTAATCCCGAAAAGTAACCATACAATAAATTTAAAAAAAATAGAATCTTGTAAAAAAAAAACTTAGGTGCCCTCACCCCACACCTCCAGCTGGCAGCACCCTGGGGTAGGGCTGGTTGGGAAGGGATGGGGACATGAAGAGGACAGCCTCAGCAGCAGGGCTGCAGGGGGACTGGAAAAGCTGCTGAGGCTGTGCTGCAGAGGGCAGGGCCGGCACAGCAGTGCAAGGCTGGCAGTGGGGCTGGCAAGGGTGGTACAGGGGTGGTGGGCCCTGCTCAGCACCTGCCCCTGCACAGAGCAGTCTGGCTGGCCGCAGCACTGGGGAACCTGCCTGGGTCCAGCCCAGCTGGGACCAGGCAGGACTACAGGGCTGGCCTGGCAGGTGCATCTGTGGAGAGTAGGGCCCAGAGCCCATCCTGGGGCCCTGCTGGCTGGTGCCAACCCTTGTCCCAGGCTGCTGCTGGGGGACATGGGAGGCAGATGGCATGGTGTCCTGGCTGGTGTTGGAGGGTGCACGGACCCGGTCTCACTGGCCTCACCTTCACGGGTCTTGGCCCACAGGGTGCAGGTGTAGTATCCCCCCCCACTGAGCAGGCAGGGACTGGTCTGCAGAAGATGGGGACAAGAGTATGTCCATCTCCCTGTCTCCTGCAACCCACTGCAGCTCCATTCCAGGGATGCCCCAATGTCTCACACACTCTTCGAGTAGCCGAAGATGCCCACAGGGAGGTACTTGACGTGTGTTGGCCACTGTGCTGCCAGCTGGAAAAACTTCACATCGTTCCACTCCACCCCATCTATGGAGACTGAGAGGAGAGGGTGCAGTGAGGCACAGCCCTACCACAGCCAGCCTGTGCTGCCTGGTCTGCCCCACTACAGCCCCAAGGGGCTGGTACCTGTCCTCACCTCGCAACATGGTGTTCTGGTGCTTGGCTGTGCAGATGAGGCGTGTGATCCCTTCAATGACTTGGCTTTTGTGTTCCAAGTCTTTTTCTTTTGGTTTCTTGCTCAGGAACATCACTGGGGACCAAGGCCAGACAGGACCAATGTTAGGATGTCCCCACCTGGCCCTAGGTGGGAGCCCCTGCCCCAGTGCATTGACTGTCCCCTGCTGGGCCACATCTCAGCCATGACCTCCTGCAGGCTCCCCCCACCCTTTCCACAAAGGACTGTGGCCCCACAGGCAGAGAACACCCCAGAGTGGGCTTGGTTACCTTTCTTGTTTTTCTCCTTGGTGACCACAGTCATGGCCATGGTGCTGGGGGGCACCAGCTCCCCTGTGCTGGGGATGCGGCTGACCTGGAGCGAGCGGAAGTTGCTCTTGAGCGTGTTCTTGATACCCGTCTCCCGCTTGTCACCCTCCTTCTTCCTGTCCAGCCCTTGTGTTGTCCAGTAGTCCACCTGCAGGCCCATCACCTCCAGACCAGGGCTCGGAGACCTGGGCAACACAGGCAGCACATGCAGCACACAGGTGGGGCCTCTGCTCCTCTGCCCCCATTGCCTCAGGCTGAGGGGGCCTCGTTTCCTTACCCAGCACCCGAGAGGCTGCTGCAGACGGACGGAGAGGGTGGCGGGGTGCAGATGGTCTCCTTGCCATAGGAAACAGATGCATTGGAGACTGGTGTTGAGCTCAGCAGGGAGGAGGGGGTGCAGACTGTGGCATCATCCGAGTCCACTGGGGAGAAAAAGTGTGGGTTTGAGGGTTTGGGGGACACCAACAAGAGCCTCCCACCTGTGGAAAAGAGAGCTGGGCATTCCCAGGGACTCACCAGAGGCACTGAAAGACTGCTCCACCAGGCCCACCTTCACCACCTGCAAGGAGAAACCAGAGGATACCCAGCATCAGCAAGACTGTGCACTGCACCTCTCCCCTCAGCCCCTGCTGGCCCCTCAACTCACTCACCCCCACAAAGGGGACAAACTTCTGGCAGGAGTCCTCGTCGGGGCTGCAGAAGGAAGAGAGTCTGGTCAGGGTCTGGGTGTGCTGAGCACCAATTGCTGTGTGACTACCAACCTTGTGCCCAGGCAGCCCTGCACTCGCAGGGGTCAACGCTGGCTCACATCCACTAGGACCATCTCCTCTGCCCTCCCTCCCATGAGAACCCCTGTCCCCAACATGGCAGCACAGGGCACACTAGACAAGGAGGCAAGGAGTTGTCCCCTCCAGTGCTGGGAAAGGGCTTGCATGCGGGAGGGCAGCCCTGCCCCTCTGTGGGGTCACGGCTCCTCTGCACAGCAAGAGGGATGGACGCACATGGGGAAAGGCGGGGAGGGGCCAGGCAGCGGCACAGCAAGCACAAGCCAATACCTGATATAAAAATCAAAATAGAGACTTCTCTTCCTTGGGTGCCAGAAACCAAGAGAAGGGAGAGGTGAGAGTGCAGCTGGAACACGAGCATCAACCCCCGGACAGCACAGTACCAGCTTGCAGCCCCACCCAGCCCATCCCAGCTGGTCCCCACCATTGGGGCTGTCAGAGTCACAGCTACTGGAGGGGCCAAGCACACCAGGAGGTGGCAGGGAATGGTGCTGCGGGCCTCTCACTGTGGGACCCCAGCTCCCCTCAGCACCGTGCTGCTTGTCACTGGAATGCAGGGCCTCACTCACTTGTCCCGTGTCCCTCATTCCTGTCCTGGGCACGTCCCAGACCGGGGCCGCATGAGGGAGGACAGGCACCCTGGGGCCACACTCACCTCTTCTGCTTGTAGGTCAGCATGGCCTCGGAGATGGGGAGCTGGTGAGAGAGGCTGGCTCCAGCGATGAACTGGGCAACACGGCCTGCTATGTCCACAGTGTCTGCAGGCACAAAGAGCCATGAAGACCTCGATGACAGCTGGGCTCACCCTCAGGGCACTGCTGATGCCAGCCTGCCCTGCTCCTCACCTGCGGTGGGAGGCTCAGCCCTGCTGAACAGCTCCCGCCACGCTGTGTCCAGGAAAAGAGTGCTGTATTTGTTATCCACCGAGGCCAGGTACTTGGCCAGAGGGTGAGAGCCTGCAGGGGAGAAGGGCAGTGTTGGCTTCAGGCAGCAGAGTCTGGGCATGTGGGAGAGGACAGCCCTGGGCTGGGCTCCTCATGGCTCTCACCCAGTGGTACAAGCAGGAAGCGAAGGTAGTTGAGCCAGTCGGGCGTCTTGCTGGCCAGTTGTTCCACAAAGAAACGGAGGACAACACTCAGGTAGCTCTGGTCCCCTGCCACCACCACCTTCACCGGGGGAGGCATATGGGAGTTACAGTTACAGCTGCCAAAGGGAGAGGAAAAGGAGACTCTGAGGGATGTGCAGTGGCTCAGCAGGTGGGCCAGAGGACACAATGTACACCTGTCCACAGCCCCAAAGGGTCCTAATGAGCCCTGGGGAGCCAGGGCCATACCCAGCCCTTCTCTGAACCCCTACAGTACCACCAGGCTGAGCCCAAGCTGTACTCACTATCGCTGGATGCGGGAGACAGTGGTGTTGAAGGCTGCCTGGATGTCCGCCACGGAGCACGTGGATACAACCAACTGCTTGTGCGCCTGGAGCTGCTCACTCACGTACTGCCAATGCAGAGAGCTCAGGTTAAGGCACCCTGGAAGCATGGTTGTGCTGGCCAGCACCAGCCCATGCCTGCCCTGAGCCCGGTGCCCCCTGGGTTGCAGCTGGGACACCGGGCCCCACCCGTGCCATGCAGGGAGGCTGAAACCATCAGGTGACTCACAGCTGCATCCTGAGCATCCCTGCTCCTCCCAGCTCTGCTCTAGGGGCCAGCCAGCCCCTTGCTCTCACCTTTAAGCACAGCAGTCACTGTTGTGGCAGTGCCATGGCAAGGGCAAAACTGTCCCAAGAACCAGGCTGTGTTCTTTGAAATAAGCAGTTTGGTCCAGGGACACTCTATTTAATTCTGCCATTCCACAGCAGGGCCCTGCTCTACGCTCACTCGGCCTCTGCTCATTCCCTCTTCTTGCTCTCTCCCACTGTGGCACTCCAAAATCCTTCTGTCTCTTCAGGTGTCTGCATGCAGTTCAACAGTGGTAAAATAAGCAGTCAAAATGGACAAGGGGGCTGGTTTTGGGAGAGGGCACTGACCCTTTTTTCCCTACCCAGAAGAAGTGGAACAAGCCAATGCATGGCCTGAGTCAAGACTTCACTGCCTCTCACTAAGCCCTTTCTTATGTCTCAAAATTTTCCAGCACCCTTTCTGGATGCCAGATGTAGCTGCAGGATCCTGAGGGGGTCTCACAGGTGTTTTACCTAACTGCATGTTTGCACAAATGTACATTTCCTTGCTCACCTCTGGCTTTAGAGCTCCAGGTATGAGGGAGGCAAGTGTTTGTCAGCGACTGGGCCTGTCCTCACACCCCACCCTGCTCTGATGATGGAGGTAATGCTCCCTGGGAGTGACAGGTGACACTCTCCCATCTCTCAGTGGGAAATACCTCTGCTGCTTCCCAGGGCCTCATGCCCACAGAGGCAGGGAGCTCTTTGCCAGGGAATCCAACAAAGCTCTGACCCATAGGGTTCCTGGGAGCCAGGACCAAACAGTGAGGGGCCTAAGGCACAGTCTGCTAGCCAGCCTTTCTGGGACTGATCAGGACATCATGTTTTGAGGATCCAGTGATGATGTGTGATGGAGGAGACACACCTGACTCTTGTGTATGTGACTCAGCACCCTGTCAATGCATTGTCCCTCTGAAAGAAGGGCCACACTGGGGGAGAGAAGGGCACAGCTTGTGCTAGTTTTCCCTAGGATGCTCTGCTATGATTGGGAGAATCCACCCTGCTTACAG